TAGGCGGGTGTTGAACAATGAGAACACATGGACACAGGGAGGGGAGCACTACATGCTGGGGTCCGTTGGGGGGAAATGGGGGAGGGATGGGGAGGTGGGGAGGTGGGAAGAGGTAGCATGGGGAGAAATGACAGATACAGGTGAGGGGACGGAAGGCAGCAAACCACACTGCCATGTGTGTACCTATGCAACAATCTTGCATGTTCTTCACATGTACCCTCAAACCTAAAATGCAATTAGAAAAAAAAAAAAAGAAAATGGAATTGTATAAGGAGGCAGAGAGAGAGATATGGGAAAAACATTTATGATAGAGGGAAAGAGCAGGTACAAAGTTCCTTGAGGTAGGAGCATGCTGGGTGTTTTCAAGAAATATTAGGAAAACAAGTATGAATTGATATGAGTATGAGAGACCAAGAGTAGAAAAAGGTGAGGTTTCAGATGTAACCAGTGGTCAAATAAAGTAGATTCTTGCAGGTCATGGCAAATACCTAGGATTCCAAAAATATCCACTGGGAAAGTTTGAGAAGAGAGTGAATCTGAGTTATATTAAAAACAAACAAAAACAAAACCTCATTCTGACAGCGAGAAGGGGTCAGAATTTGGATCTGTTCCAAAATCAACAAGATAAGCTGATATGAAAGAGAGAAATCAAGGTGTGGATGTGGAGAAGAGTCCTTGGTTTCATGTTATTCTTTTTCTTCACTGATTCACTTTTTGACTGTTTTTGTTCACTGCTGTATTCCGAGAACTTAGAATGGTGCCTGGTACATAGATGATTCTCCATAAATTTTGAATGAATTAATACTAAGAGTGGATTCAGTGGAGTGATAGATGAAAATATCTGTGAGAGATGCAAGATGGCCGATTAGGAACAGCTCAGGATTGCAGCTCCCAGTGACAGCGCAGAGAGTGAGTGGACACCACATTTCCAGACGGATTTTTATTGCCCACAGACCAGGAGATTCCCAGGCAGAGGAGCCCCAGGGTTGCCAGCATGACTCTTTTGGCCCATGCAGCTGTTTTGCTGGTGCCCTGGAGTGGCAGTTCTCAATACAAAATACGTGTCACTAGGTGCCCTTTTAGCTGGTAAATGGAGCTCTGGGAAGGCAGAGTCGCCCATTCAGCTGATTAAAGAGGGGACTGAAACAGCGAGCCAGGCCAGGAGATTCCTGGGCAAAAAAGGAACCATGAATCTCAGCGCCACTGTTTCAGACGGTGCAGTGGGTTGCCACATGGGAAATCACACAGCAGCTCTGAATGAACAATGGAGCCCACAGCTCAGCACTTGAGCTCCTATAAAGGACAGACTGTCTCCTCAAGGAGCTCCCTGATCCACATATACCCAAAGAGTCACCTCATAAAGGAGAGCTCAGACCGACATTTGGCAGGTATCCTTCTGGGACAAAGATAGCAGAAGAAGAAACTGGTAGAAATCCTTACTGTTCTGCAGTGGCTGCAGGTGATCCCAGGCAAGCAGGGCCTGGAGTGGACCTCGGCAGTCCTATAGCAGAGGGACCAGATTGCTGGAAGGAAAACTAAGAAACAGAAATAACTTCATTATTAACAAACTGGACATCCACTCAGAGACCCAATCTGAAAGTCAGCAACTACAAAGATGACAGGTGGATAAATCCATAAATCTACAACGATGGGAAGAAACCAGTGCAAAAAGGATGAAAACTCCCGAAACCAGAACACCTCTCCTCCTACAAGGGATCACAACTCCTCACAAGCAAGGGAAAAAAGTTGGATGGAGAATGAGTGTGATGAAATGACAGAATCAGGCTTCAGAAGATCGCTAATAAGAAACTTCTGTGAGCTAAAAGAACATGTTCTAAACCAATGCAAAGAAACTAAGAACCTTGAAAAAAGATTTGATGAAATGCTAACAAGAATAGACAACTTAGAGAGGAATATAAATGAATTGATCGAGCTGAAAAACACAACATGAGAACTTTGCGAAGCATGCACATGTTTTCATAGTCGAATTGACCAAGCACAAGCATTGTCTCCTCCTGTTTCATAGCCTATCTGCTTCTACCAAAGGTATCTGCTATTGTGCCATAGTTGACTGTAAAATCACAGAACATTTGTGTGTGTGTGTGTGTGTGTGTGTGTGTGTGTGCATGCATGTGTATGTACTGTACTTATATGAGCATGCATTATGGTTGTCTACTTTTGCAACGTAGCTTGGCTTTATGATTAAAACCAGCATTAGGTTTTACTTTCTGCTCATACATCATAGTTGCCTGAATATCCATATGATGTTCCTTTACTGTAATTTTCATTTTATTCACCATGAATATGGGCCTTATATTTGTGTGTTCATATATTACAAATAGCTATTTATTCAATATTGTCATTATTACCCCAAGAATATCAATTCTTCACTATGAACTTGCAACTATGTCTTACCATTCTGCTCAGTGAAAACTTTTTGACCTTGTATGCTTACTCTCGGACCACGACCTTTTCTGTTCCTTCACCATGGTAGTCTATTTCCATAGCACTGCAGTCTGCTCCTAAACCATGTCACTTAATTCCTGTATCATGGTTGCTATGATACACATATTGTGTGTGCATATATCATGGTTAAGAATTGATATACCAAATACTTCTTCACATATATCATGTTTGTATATGGATATTTGCCTCCAGCTACATGGATGTGTGATCATGTTTGAAGGCTCTTTGTTTCACTGTCACAGACATGTAATTTAGTTATGATTTCATGTAATGCTGCTGTCTTTTTAATGTATCATAATATATGTCTTAGTTTTCTCCTTCCAAATCATGGACATTGAATTATATGTTATTGTCATCTATTCTTAGTGTGATAGTTTGTTGCTTGTCTACCAAAATAATTTGAACATAACCCATAGTGATATATTAGAATAGCATAGCTGAACACACACTATGGATCTCTTTGTTTGCACATGGCCATCTTCTCCTACACCCAGGATTGTTACACATGGACTCATGTTTTCCAAGCATGCATCATGGCTGTCTTCTATTCCATAGATTATTTCTCCAATTTAAACTTTATACCCTGGCCCAAATGTCTTTGTTCCTGTAGAATAGTTGTCAATTCATGTATGATGATTATCTGAGCATTAATCATTGTCATGTGATTATACAACGTTAGGATCTGCTAAAGCACTGTGAATATTTGAGCATATATGATGGTTAATGCCCTTACCATGGATGTTACTTGTGGTCAGCGTTGCCTGATCATGCACCATCTTTTCTTACTCATATACTATGGTTTTCTGAACTGTATCATATACAGTTGTCTATTCCTGTATACTCCTGTAAAATGTTCATTAACTCTTTTATAGTTCATGAACCATGGATGTAACAGCTCATATATTAGGTTAACCATAAGAATTTGCTTTCTTTGCTAAAACCAAAATTGTCAAAGGTTGGCAATTTCATATGGTGTTATCTAATGCTATGATTATCTCTATCTCTAATGTAGACAGTTCATCATGTCAGAAGTCTATCTTCTCCAGTGTTGTAGTTTTTCATATGCCTATACCAGATTCATGAAGACAGCCTAATATAGATCCCAGTGGTTACTTTTTTGAGGGATGTGGGATGAATTTAAAAGGACTTTCATTCTTAATCTCACCAACCAGAATAGGTCCTTAATGTGTATCTGTTTTACATATTGGTCTCTTGCATAAGCTTTCTTGGAAAAAAAAACCAGTTATATATCCTTCCATTTCTTCTGAAAATTTATCCACTGATATGACTGAGAAAGGGTACGGTGTTGGTTCAGAGTTAGGTCTCCTTTCATTTCTCAGTGTCTCATATTCAAAGAAGCACAGATTAGAGGTAGCAGGTAACCGTTACTTTATTGATTGCTTTCTTAACCCCATGCCTTGGGTAAATCTCCACTGATCCAGAGTTCATAAAACAGCCTTGCTTATAGGGAAGTCTAAATCACTAATTCTATCACCAGTGCAATTTGCTGACCTCTTTAGTGCCAGGAAGAAGGCTTGGATTTATCTTTATGTTGTGGCCCCTACCTAAAGGAGCAAGTTTGCTTTCAAATATCTCTTTATGGGGAAATACAGCATTCTTATTCAAGAGCCATCATGTCTCATTAATTCAATATTTTCTCAGCCTAATTTAGAGGAAACAGTCTATCCATTTCAGGCCATTTAATCTTTTGGAAAATTGCTTAACTCTATGAAGATGAAAATCAATCCCAAAAATGCTATAAAGAGACTCCAGGTGTTAATATACTAGGAAACTAGGATTCTCTAAATATTACACAGTTAACCAAGGCAAAGGATTTTGTAACACTAATAATCAAACAGGGGATTGGAGGGAAATAAAGACATGAGAGAATATTTTTAAGATCTTGGATTATAAGAGGTAATCTAAGCTGAGGGAAATTCTGTTACTCACCTAGTTACATGGGGGGAAGTCAACAAAAGAGATGTTGCAGTAACCTCAGACTCCTGATTACTGACTTAGAGCTCTTTGTGCTACTCTATGCATCCTTTCTTGGATGGCTCTGGTATATTTAGGGGAAGGGTATATTGGGAGTGATTTTAGTGGCATTGACAAGCTGGGAAAAGGTGACCTTTGAATTAAGCACTGAGTCACTAGACCAGGCCTCCCCAAACTTTTTACACAGGGGGCCAGTTCACTGTCCCTCAGACCGTTGGAGGGCCGCCACATACTGTGCTCCTCTCACTGACCACCAGTGAAAGAGGTGCCCCTTCCTGAAGTGCGGCAGGGGGCCGGATAAATGGCCTCAGGGGGCTGCATGCAGCCCACGGGCCATAGTTTGGGGATGCCTGCACTAGACACTAGAGAAGTTAAATGGCTCCAATAGAATTTAGTAACGTCTCTTTATCTCTCTCTCTCTCTCTCTCTTTCTCTCTCTCTCTCTCTCTCTCTCTCTCTCTCTCTTACCTCTTTCTCCTCTCTCACTTTGTTTTCTACTCCTTACCTCTTACCCCTTCTCTAAACTGTGAATCTCACAGGTCTCTCCAAGTTTGTGCCTAAGAAGATGATAATCACACAAATGAGTCACTATTATATGACCAGCCTTGGGATTCTTTCCCTGATTAATATTCTCCCTGGAACCACTGGTCAAGGGGAATCAAGACGACAAGAACCTGGGGACTTTGTGAAGCAGGACATTGGTGGGTAAGTACCCCTAACTCTTGGGATGAAAGAAGACTGTGATAAATGCTTGCCACAGACCAAAACTTCAGATGTTTTCTACCAGATGAACTCAAGTACTCTGGTCTCTGAATACTTATATATTACATTAGATTTAGAAAAAGTCATAGGCTCAGACTCTCAAGGTAGAAAAACATCTCAAAGTTGTTTTCTTCTTTGACAACACCCTGAACCAGGCTTGAATCACCTTTGTAATATCTAATAAACAATTCTTTCCGGTCTTTTGCCCTCAATTTTATCTCTCCTTTCTTAGATCTTCAACCTTTTCATTTTTATTGGCTCTGGCTCATTTAAACATGATAATGTTTAAAAATCACTCATCTTAAATTTAAAATTTTTCCCTCCAGATACTGCCTTAATTATGTGCTCCCCTTCGTAGCCATATTTCTTGAGGGAGTGGTATGCTTTATTGTATCTATTTACCTCTCACCCATTCATTCACTTGCTACTGTCTGACTTCCAACCCCATGACTCTAAGGCAGCTTCTGCAGCCAAGAAGTCCAATGCTTGTTCTGTTGCTAAAATGAACACTTGTCTGTTCATATATTCCAATATAGTTGACTTCTCCCTCCATAACTTTATTTTATTAGGAAATAAAAATACATGTAGAAACATGCATAAAATATAAATATATGGTTTAATAATAATTATATCTTTGGCTTCAGAGACACCAGAACTCTCTGGTGTTTTGATTAGGTTCTCTAGAAACAGGGTATGAAAGAAGGATTCTTGAGCAAGTGATTTACTGAGAGGTCACTTTCAGCAGAAACCTATAAGGAAGTAAGGGAGGGAAGATAGGGAAAGAGAAGAAGTAAAACAAAGGTATAGCCTCAATTTGACCTCATGAGAAGATATGGGGCATACATGACACTAAAAGATCTGTCCTATCTTGAGGCAAAGGACCCATGCTTGTATCCTCTGATCTCAATCAGTCATTGCCTGTGGATCCCATGGAGAAAGGCATAGTCTTCCAGACATTTTAGGTGAGGCGACTCCCTTCAACAGATGTAATTTTCCAAAGTAGCTGAAGGGTGGTTTCACTGGCCCAGTGAAAGGGATCTGAGAATACTATTATATCAATAATAAGTACTATATCTTGTTTTCTTTACACTTTTATGACTATGCTTTCTGGAATATTTTTCACAATACTATACAGGTACATCAAAGACCTTCATGATACAAAGATCATTTTTAGTCTTTTTTTGTTCACCCCTCAGGTGTTTGTGTTTTTCCTTGTTTTGTTCTAGGCACACTCCTTACATTACAGATCCCCTGAGTGATTCCATTCATTTCTATGATGTAGTTACTGTGTATATATAAATGCCAATGACTCCCATCTCAATCTTCATTCTAGCCTTCTCTTGAATGTCAGATTTCTATATCCAACTGTCTACTGAACATGCCCACTTGGCTATTCCACACACTTCTTAAACTACGCATATCCAATGTGGTTTCATTATCTTCATCTCCCTCCCCCACCTTAAATAACAAACATAACAAAACAAACAACAAACAGACAAACATATTCCTCTTCCATTTCTTTTTCTTCTCTCAGTCAGTGGTACCACCATGTACCCACTTGCTCAAGCCAGAAACTTGGAACCATTTTTGCCAGTTTTCTACCCCTTACTCTCCATATCGAATCAATCACCAAGATTTGTCATTTCTGTCTCCCATATCTCTTGGATTTGTCTACTCTTTTCCAACAGTTCTACTAGCACCCTAGTTTAGTCCAATGTTATCCCCCATTTGGACCTCTGCACAAACCTTGTCTTACTTCCTAAAGTCTTGTTCCCATCCAAACTAACCTCCACTCTGTAACTATTTTTTTTCTATAATACATGTTTGGTCATACCTACCTTATTTAGAGAGCTTTCATGGTTTTCTATTATCCCTATAATGAAGTACAAACTCCTTTACATGATTTGATAAAACTCGTCATGACCCAGGTTCTACCCACCTTGCTAGCCTTATTTCTTAGTCTTTCTGCCACCAAACTCTTTGTTATTCAGCAATGTTGAACTTCTTTTAGACTTCAAAATCCCCTTTTATCCAAGGAATATCATTACTAAAAATGACCTCTTAGTCCTGCAATATTTCAATATTACACAAGATATTTTATGCTTTGGTAGTGACTTTTTTTTTTTTTTTACATTTGGCTATTGTCCCATATTCTTGAAGCATACATCTTGAAGTAGGAAGTATTCTTAATTATTTTTGCAGGGTTGATTATCTTAATGTGATTATCTGAGTCTTTTCATCTTACGTCAGCATTTTTTACAATAATCTCTGGGGCTGGGGCTGCAGAACTGGGCTTGTATGTCATTACAATCTTGGTATATGACTCTTTTTGTTCTTTCTTCCAATCTGGAAAATAAAACCAGTTCTGTTTTGTTAACTTCTCATATATTACATATCATTGGGCCATGACAGATTCTAAATGAGATGAAGCTTCTAAATAAATGAACCTTACCAATTCAAGTGTTAAAACCTTTTACATTTTAACGCTGATAATACAGATTTCTAAAAATGTATTGTATATTTTCTTATAATCCTAAACAAGGATCTTTTGAATAGAATGGTCCTGTTTCTTTGTGACTTTTGGTCATCATAAAGAAAATTTACTGTTGGGTGCAGTAGTACATGCCTATAGTCCCAGCTACTTCTGGCTGATACAGAAGCATCTCTTGAGCTCGGTAGTTCAAGGCCAGCCTGGACCACACAGACTTTATCTTTGAAACAAACAAACATCTCCCAAGCACATGTTCATTATATTCATTCTAATCATTTTTTTTTCTTTTTTGGTTCTATCTTCAGTGTTAGTTCTTACATCTCAACTCCTGTTTACAATGGTTTGTTTGCATACTGTTGGTGTTTAGAAAACCAGATAGCCTAGGGATTTAGTAATTATGTCAAAGAGGAAGTCAAGAAATCCTATCTGAAAAAGCAGAGTGAAGTGCGTGTTTTTAATACAGAGGTAACAAAATCACTGCATGTTTTCTTTCTTTTCTCTTTTCTTTTATTTCTTTTCTTTCCTTTCCCTCCCTCCCTTCCTCCCTTCCTCCCTTCTTCCCTCCCTCTCTTCCTCCCTCCCTCCCTTCCTCTTTCTTTCTTTCTTTCTTTCTTTTTCTTCTTTATCTTTCTTTTCTTTCTTTTCTTCACAGAGTCTTACTCTGCTACGCAGGCTAAAATTCAGTGGTGTGATCATAGCTCATTGTAACGTCAAACACCTAGACTCACATGATCATATGATCCCTCCTGCCTGAGCCTCCTGAGTAGCTGGGATTACAGGTATAAGCTACCACACACGGCTAATTTTTAAAAAATATTTTGTAGAGATAGGGTCTCACTCTCTTACCCGGGCTGATCTCAAACTCCTGTCTTCAAAAGATCTTCCCACATTGGCCTCCTATAGTATTGGGATTATAGGTGTGAGCCACCACACTGGGTCTATATTACTTGAATTGGAAACATTTTGTTGATTTACTTTCTTCCAAGATCAGAGCAATTAACACTTTTGAGGGATGAGACTACTAAAAGCATGGATCCAAATATTAGGACTGTATTCTCCTAAATGTCTTTTGGGTAAATAATGAAATTAAGGCAGAAATAAAGAAATTTATTGAAAGTCATGAGAACAAAGATACAACGTATCAGAATCTTTGGGACATGGGTAAAGAGTGTTAAGAGGAAAGTTTATAGCACTAAATGCCCACGTCAAAAAGTTACACAGATCTCAAATTAACAACCTAATGTCACACCTAGAGGAACTAGAGAACCAAAAGGAAATCAACCCCAAAGCTAGTAAAAGACAAGACGTAACAAAAATCAGAGCTGAATTGAAGGAAATTGAGATGCAAAAAAAAAAAAAAAAAAAAAAAAAAATACAAAAGATCAAGTCCAGGAGTGTGTTCTTTGAAAGAATGAATAAGATAGATAAGCCACTAGTTAGTCTAATAAAGAAAAAAAAGAGAAATAAACACAATCAGAAATAAACACAATCAGAAATAGCAAAGAAGATGTTATTACTGGACCCATAGAAATACGGAAAACCTTTAGAGACTATGAACATCTCTATGTATACAAGCTAGAAAATGTAGAAGAGATGGATGAATTCCTGGAAACATGCAACTTCCTAAGATTGAACCAGGAAGAAATTGAATCCCTGAACAGACCAGTAACAAGTTCCAAAATTGAATCAGTAATAAAAAGCCTACCAGTCAGAAAAGCCTAGGAACAAATGAATTCACAGCCAAATACTAACAGATGTATAAAGAACTGGTACCATTCCTACTGAAAGTATTCCAAATAATTGAAGAGAAGGGACTCTTCCCTAGCTCATTCTATGAGACCAGCATCATTCTGATACCAAAACCTGGCAGAGACACAACAACAAAAAAACCTTTTGGCCAATATCCTTGAGGAACTTAGATGCAGAAATCCTCAATAAAATTTAGCAAACCAAATCTAGTAGCATATCAAAATATGAATCCACCGTGATCAAGTAGGCTTTATCCCTGGGATGCATGGTTGGTTCAACATATGCAAATTAATAAATGTGATTCACCACATCAGTAAAACTAAAAACAAAAACACACATAATTATCTCAGTAGATACATAGAAGGCTTTTGATAAAAATCAACATTATTTCATTAAAAAACTCTCTACAACAAACTAGGCATTGAAAGAACATACTTCAAAATAATAAGGTCTGTCTATAAAAAACCAACAGCCAACACCATACTGAATGGGCAAAAGCTTGAAACATTCCTCTTGAAAGGCAGAACAAGACATGGATGCTCTCTCTCACTACTCTTATTCCTCATAGTACTGAAGTCCTAATCGGAGTAATCAGGCAAGAGAAAGATATAAAAGGCATCCCAATCAGAAAACAGTCAAACTATCTCTGTTTGCAGACAGTATGCTTCTATACTCAGAAAATCCCATAGTTTCTGCCCAAAAG